ATAATAATAGACAGCATTTTTATAGCAAGCTCTGTGCGCTTCCGAATCTATGTTATTACTCCAGCAGACTTGATAGCATTCTTAAATTATCTCAACTTCCTGGGAAGCATGCAGTGCACGCTGCTAGTTTATAGACGCTAAACACTAACATACTGACAAGATAATACGCTGCTGGACTACCAGTCACGTTTGCTTCTCTCACTCCCAGGTTCGAATCACGGTCACATCGCTGATTTTTCTAATCAAGTTATATTATTGTGTATGCTTTCAAATGTTAACATGTCACTAATTATACACATTCCAGATGAAGAGACAAAGGAAGGCAAGAGAACACAAAGTTACACAAAACCAGTTAAGATTCTTTATTGCCTGACTAAAAACTAAACCCTATCTTTTACCTAGCTCACTCAAAAGTTCCTTCTTTATTGCGTAGGTTGGGGTAGTCGCTCGTTACGAAAGTCCTTCCGAAAAATCTTACTAAAACAAAAATACTAAAAACGTGACATTCATGTTTACCTCTGGATGCGGTCCTGTGATTAGTATGTTCCTTCACATTCAGATGAGTGGATAAATCCATTGCTCATTACTTCAAGACCGACTCCGAACGCGTTGTTAAGCTCCTGAGTAATAAGTTAAACACATTAACTTTAGGTGTTTGTTGCTGGATTTGGGGTTTTTTCCCCCTTTTACTTCGATTAGAGAAGAAAACAATTTCACGTTCAACAAAAGTGCTAAAAGAGTTTTACTTCAGAATTCCCCCACTGGCAGAGGTCGCAATGAGAGATTTTGATCAAATGTAGCTCGAGTGAGTAAGTTTTGTTTGTTTTGTTAACCCTGTAAGTGCGCCCTGGGGTCATTTTGTACCCTCGGGGTTGTATTCTTCACATTTTAGAATACTTCTAGTGCGAAGATCTCTTTGAAACTTTCAGTATTTCTCAAAAAAATCATTTTGACAGACTACTATGCAAAGCGTACGGATCGGATTATTGAGTAAATGTCCTCTTTGGAAAGTGGTGGCACAGAGTTCCCCACGTCGTATGGATACGATAGTAAGACACGACGTACGGCCCTCACAACTCACAACTGCATAAGGTTATAAAAGTGCCTACGACTCGAGTTGGTTGTGTTCACTTTACACACAATAAGCCAGGCCAGGTTTTACCTTGTAAAGATGGAATGACCGAAGCCATTAAAATTCTCGGTGAAAGTGTAGTAGTAAAATACAGTAATGCAGGTCTACATTTTAAAAAAAAACATAAGTGAGGCAGCGTGGTGGAATCAGGCTCTCGTCAAAATAACCAAAGTGAAGAAACCTGCATTTTTCCGCAGGTTTGTGAATTTTTATCAAACTTTTGTTTTTTGGCTCAACACCTTTCATGCTCATTAAAGAACTCATTTCTGTGTGGATTTTTCTGAAAAACATTGATTAAAAGCACACAAAAAGTAAATTGTCAGTTACCACGGACTCTTAAGCTAAGGAAATAACTAATCTTTGGCGGCCATTTTCTCACTAATTCTACCTCTGAAAACAGGTGACCCCCAGCTCCCTCAATTGCAAATATCTCAACTTATATTCAAGATAAATGGATTTTTTTTCATCCAGATGAAAAGACAAGTGAACAAGCTTAAGATGATACCCAGTGGCGGTGGGTAGTGAAGGGCTCACGGGCTTGAGCCCCTACCCCCTCCCCACCCACCACCCCCAACTCTATCCCAAAGTAAACGAAAGTTTCTCCATAATGAAATAAGCAGTTGAAATCGTTATGACCGCACGCAATGAACACAGAGTGATCAACTTGGCGGCTTGCTCGCTTATCCAATCACTGTTGTCACCGCTTACAACTATGGTAACCCAGTAGCCAATCAAATGTGTTTATAGGGCTCAGCAAAGATGAGCCCTTTTCCCATAGCCTCTCCTTAATGAAACTCTTCCTGTAAAAAGGTAGAAGACTGGGAAAAAATAACACTGTACCGAGGGCTCACGCTCTCCTAGCCCGGACAATGGGGAGAAAGTTTACGACACAATTTCCCCCACTGACACAGATACCTATGCGCTCATTGGTTCTTTGTTGGGTGCGTTCAACTTTCTCGACTACACGGCCTAATCCAGCTCATAGAAGTATTATGTTTGAAGTGCTGCGTGTTTATGTTTGTGTTTGTGTCGCTGAGATTTAACAGGTCGAACTACTTGTAAGGTAATTTTGTCATCACACGAAAACTAATTAGAGGAAATTTGGAGGTGGAAAACAAAGGCAACTCTTCTTTTTTGAATGGTACTCAAACTGCCGCGGCTCGGCGTGAGTATAGAAAAATCATCACTGTTTAATTTTTACTGCTTGCTATTTGTTGGTAAAGAACTGGAAGCAACCTAAGCCCCTCCCAAATTTTGGTCCACCCACCGCCACTGATGATACCAATAACTCTACATGCCCAAAAATTGACGAGAGCCTGATTCCACCACGCTGCCTCACATAACATATGCGATAAGAGAAAAGACCAATGCTTTTTTAAATAAAATTTTAATCAAAAATTCTGTTGGGATCAACGATGGAGAA